TCCAAAACCCAGCATACCAAACCCAGAAGAAGAGATAAGTATAACAACGAGAAGATGACGATAAAACAAAACGACCTGCCCGAGAGAATCAAACAAAACGAAACAACAGAAGCATTGCGCAACCTTCTTCGTTTTACTTCTTCTCTTTTTCGTTTCGTTTCGTTTCGTTTGTTTATTGATTGAAGGAAATTCGGTTTCCAATAGCTACAGTTTTAGTTGTCTCGAATAAATCAATTAAATTCGCTTTATGCGGAAACGCGAAGACTGCAGAAAGAAAGAACAAGAAATAAATAAATAATGAAAGAAAGAAAGAAGGAAGGGTAGTGTATATATACGCGCACTTCTTCCCCATTAATAATTCATTTCTCTCCCGGTATAATTGCGTCCTCGATGGAGCGGATGAAAGAGAAAAAAGGACGGAAACAGAAGGAACAAAATTAAAAGAAATGTGTACACACATACATAAATATATATATATATAAACAGGGGACTGGTAAATATCAATTAATTTTATGAGTTAACAAGAACTTCTGTTCTGCCTTAAAAAAGGCCAATTAATGCACTTGCAATCATGATTATTGTTGTCCGAAGGCATTCCGCTGTAAACGGGTCCAGTCGTTTAGCCGCAAGAAATTTTATATATCGCATACATATGTATCATCTCACATATAATTTATATGTGTACACGAATAAATAAATTCAGGGAAAATAATTATACAGTAATTATTATTACCTCTTCGATTATTGATTGATACATAATGATAAAAGCAGTTTTCAGTCCTTAATAACTCATTACTTTTAATACACAAATTACTTTTCAATAATTAAGAGAATCATTCTTGAAAATTTTGAGAAATTTTGATAAAAATTCTTTCTTTCAATAATAATTAGAAAATCTTCACTTATTAATAAAAAAAATAATTGAGTCTGTAAATAAATATGTTAAATGTTATTTCTTGCCAATTAATCAAGATTTGCAATTAAAAATGACAGACTTTGTTTGTTATTAAAAAAAAATCTAAATTGGATTAAATATGTTAAACTTTACTAGAATAAAATAATATTGAATCAAACTTATTCAATTATTATGTAAACTGTGTGTATTTTGTAAATCATGTACAGTAGAAACTCGCTTAACGAGTTTAATCCGTTAAAAAAAATCCAAATTTTTACTCGTATAGTGAAACACGTTTTCCCATATAAACTAATGTAAATTACGTTAATGCGTTCCTTGCCGGAAAAAAAAGTATAAGTTGGTCTCGATTTTTCATTAAGCGAGGATCCACTGTATAACTAATATATAAAAATCTAAAAAAACACATCTTTGATAATAAATTGTGTTTGTTATGAAAAATGTTGCTAAAAATATGAACTCGCTTATATTATAACAAACTTTTCAACAAAAATAGTAGATAATGACTCAAACCCAAGTTAATTAAACCACAGTATCAATCTTCATTGAAACTAACAAATTTTACAGATTGTTTATAAAAAAAATATCTATCAAGTTTATGGAATTTTTCTGTACTTGTTTTGCTTTCTGAATTGAGACATCGTGGGGGGGAAAAAAACCCATGGCAAACTTTCACGCAACCGAAGTGTTGCGTCAAAAATAAAAAAAACACGTCTGATAAACGTCGTGGCACAATGGCCGCAGAGTACGGCCCGTTTTGGTGCAGGAAACTCATCGAGATTAAGTTATTTATTATCTGGTGATATTTGTTCGTTCGAATTTCTATATTATTAAGTAACATCGATCCCACCTGCACGGTTTTACCTACATAACACACGTTGCACTTTAAAAATAGACGATTTATATCTAATCGTATTTAAAAAAAAGAATATTATTTATAAGAAAATAATAAAGAGAAGTTTCATTTATAATTACAACAATTTTTGATTTAAGATGATTATGTAGACAAAATTGTTGTAATTTTATTAAAATTATCAATAATTATTGGTGTATTCTAAAAATATGTACAGCTGGAAACCGGACTAATCCAGACAATAAATAAAATATAAATAAACCGCACAATAAGAGATTTTCTTTATATAAGTGGGAAAAAACCGATACTTTTTAGAATTTAGTTCATTTTAAACGGGACTATAGTGAATTCGGATTGATTGAAGCCGGACTATGCGAGGTACTGCTGAATTATGTGAATAAAGCAATTCTAAAGAATTGTCATTATAATTAGAGAAAAAAAAACATGATAATGACAATAATTCATCTCAACAGGAAAGTCTACTATTCCAATTAGTATACTTATTTTGAGCATTTTTTTTTAGTAATTGTGTATATGATCTGAAGATGTGTATTGTGTTGGTTTGGTAAAGGAATTTGAAAGGTTGTTTTGCGAGGAGACCTCTCAAATTTACCGTCTCGAATGCGGCCTTAAATCGCGAGAGGAAAATTTAAATTGAATGTAACCGCTCGACCATTGTGGTTGGTTGGGACTTCTGCTTCTGCTGCTTCTGCTTCGGAGGCCCTTTTACAGAGAGACGTCCGCCTGACGTCCAGAAAAATGCCCTCGTCCAGAGATTTATGCATTCGCCTTTGTTTCTATTCTTTATTTTATTTACATCTCTCTCTTTTTTTTGTGTGTGCGTTCGCTTTTATTTACTTCGCAATCGGCTCTCCCCTTGGCGTTGTTTGTACTTCGAGTGCGGGGGGGGGAGAAGGAGAGAACATGATTCTAAGTGGACCGTATTTTCTTCTTCGTATCGGAATAAAATAATGATTTGCAAAGTCTGATGATGTGAAGGCGGGTGGATTGGTGGACACGCACGTGCCAATTATTTTTCTCTCGTTTAATTGGAGAACCCTCCACCCTCCCCCCTTACTGGGTGCGCGCCCTCCACGTTCTATCGCCCTTTTTTCTCCTCTCTCCTTTCATCTTCGCGAAACGTCGCATTGAAATCGTCATAATCAATATAGATGTTATATATATATATATATGAGTGTATGGTGGAGCGTGCATCAAGAGGGTGGCGACCAATGAGAGTTGGGACTCTCGAGCACGTCTCTAGGGCCTTTCAAAGGGATGCGAACATAATAATAAAAAAGTATTAACAAACAAACAAAAAAAAAAACAATATAGAACGAATACGAAAAGAAAACAATATAAAAGAGAGCACCCTTCGATCCGGCAAAAAATACGTAACTAGATTTTTCCAGAAGATTCGGTACTATCTCCGATTATCATCGTCACCATGTGGGTCGCATTTTATTTCCACCTGCAATTTTATCGCCGGATTTATCGTTATTTTTCTATTTATATACGAAACATGAATTGCATAATAACCGCGCACTAATCTATACCCTCATCACATTTAGCTACTGGTTACTTATCTAACTAATTATAAGCCAGTATATTAAAATCACAAAGTAATTAATCTTAATCCTTATATATTTCAATTTAATTGTTCTTTTTTTTTAAATAAATTTCCAAAAATTAATTAATTAATTTTGAAATCGGTTAATAAAAATGTAATATTTTTCTCTTGCAGAAATGCTTCAGCAAGGCGATCTGTCTTCATCCATGGATTCTCTGTCGTACGATTCTTCCGTGACGTCCCCTGCCTCGAGTACGGGTCACCAATCGCAGCGGACAAAGAGGATGAGGACGTCTTTCAAGCACCACCAACTCCGCACGATGAAGACGTACTTCGCCATCAACCAAAACCCGGACGCTAAAGACTTGAAGCAGTTAGCGCAAAAGACGGGACTTTCGAAGAGGGTTCTTCAGGTACGTAAAATCGTTATTTTGGAAAAAAATTGTCAAATAACAATTCCTTTTTTTGCTTGCATTAGGTTTGGTTTCAAAACGCGAGAGCCAAATGGAGGCGGAACATCATGAGGCAGGAAGGATCTCAGGGTAATCAAGGACAAGGACCGAACGGTCAGAGCGGAAGCGGAAACTCTCTGATGGACACTTCGTCTCTGCCGCATCAGACTTCACTCGACGACATCCACCATCACATCCACTCGCAGAACTCACAGACTCTGAACTTTGGTGATATGTACTGAAGACAATGTGACGCGATTCGAAAGATGATGTTCCTTCCCATAGTGATATAACAAAGAAAGAAAGAAAGAAAGAAAGAAGATTATATAACGTGTAGTTTCGCTGGTCGTTTTAGTTCTTTGTGTTATGACGACACGACTTAGCCAGGTGCAAGTGCAATTTGCTGAAGAGATGAAGATGATGTGTTTGTTTCTGTAGATAAAATTTATTTATTTCCATAATTCCAATTATTAGTTCGTTGTACATAAACGCCGATTTTTAATAAGATTAAAGTCGTTTCCCTTGTTATCATTTTTGTTTCTCTTTTATTCTCTTCTCACAATTTTTCAGCAAGAACTTGGTTTGTTATTGTGTATCGGGTCCAGACCATCTAACCAGCGATACAATGCTCCCGCATTCCGTGTTTTTTATTTAGGGGGGACATCGATAAGGGCGAAACCCTTTACCAAACGCACGGCCAATTATCGATTAAGTCTTATTTACTCAGCCGATTTTATCGTCGTCGTCTGCTTCGTCGTGATTGCTTTATTTGCAGAACATCAGCGGGAATCCTCTCCACAAGTTCCATTCACCTAATTTAGAGATGCGACCGTAAATAGTTTTATAGCCATTTCTGCAATCGCTCAAAATCCTCGGCGCTCTTCAATCCAATTAACACCTCGCCTAATTGAGCATCTGAAAAGTGCGAATCGTAGACAACGCGCTGCCTGCGGAGGCCAATTACTCATAGATCACAATCTAGAGAGCTCCATGCAATTAACGAAAAAAAAAAAGATTAAATCAAGCAACAAATTCACGCACACACTAATTAAAAACTGAATTTCAATTTGTTTAAATCTTTGCAGAAAGTTTTAAGATATATAATGATTTTAACCACGACAATATTGATGTGTAGATGAACTTTATAGAACTTAAAGAAAAAAAATGAACCTAATTAAACGAATAAAAAAATAGTTCAAAATGTAGTCAATGAGAGATAATAAATATAAATTACTATTGCCATATGAAATAATATTTTGTTTGCATACAAAATATCGTTTTCCTAATATTAGAAAATTCCTATAATAAAACTACTTGAATCACTTATAATTATAATCATTGCGTTTTATATTTGCAATAAGTCTGGAATTTAAAAATAAATCGGTTGAAAGTGTGTCAAAAGTTCAATTACTTACGTAGATTATTATTATTATTTTTTTGTTTCCTATTGCAATTCTCTTATCAATTTGATGATGGTCATCGATAACACGTAAAAATCGCATATAAAAGTTCCGGATTTTTAGTAGACAGACATTCGAAGCTCACTTCTCCGAAAGCAAGAAAAGTAATTCATTGTCTTTGAAGAGTAGATGTAACAGTTTTTTTAATTAATATTTATATTTTGTAATTGCAGATGAAAATCGCCATCGTTCTCTTCGCCCTCGTCGGCATGAGCCTCGCCGCTCCATCCACCTTCACCCTCCAAGAGGATCTGAAGGAAATCAAGGACCTCTTCCCCTTGGCCGAGATGCGCGTCATCGCCAAGAAGTACTTGGCCACCGATGAGGAATTCCAACTGATCGTCTCTTACTTGCAAGGAAAAGAATGGGCCAAGCTCGTCGCCGCCGTCAGGGAGCACAAAAGCTGGGTTAGCTTCAAGGACTACTTGAACGAAGCCGGTCTCGATGTTGAAGCCATCATCGCTTTCATCCACGACTTGATCGCCAACGCCAGCCCTGATACCGCCGCAGACAAGCCATCCGCTTTCGGAATCCGTCAATTCTTGGACGAAATCATCGCCATCATCCCCAAGGACGAGATCCTCGCCGTCGTCGCCGACAAAATGGAAAACTCCGCCGACTTCCAAGCTTTCTACGCCAAGATCTCCAGCCCAAAGGCCAAGGATCTCTTCGAAGAAGTTAGGGCCATGAAGGAAGTTCAGCGCATCGCTGGTCTCTTGAAGATCATGGGTGTCGATGTCCAGAAGATCGTCGACTTCGTCTACAAATTCTTGGGATGGAACTAAATTTATAACTGTTTAATTTCTATACTTTTCAAATAAATACTATAAAAAATTTTATGTCGTTAATTTTATTCAATTTATTCTGTGATCAATCTGTTCAATCATAATGTGTGTAACATTATTGTAAGTGAAATTTAAGATCGCGGTGACATTAATGGATAATCTTTCCCGGTGGGTAGTTCTTTTATCCATCTATGATGATATTGTATATTTTAGAACTATTTATGCTCTGCAATTCTGTGAATCTCTGCTAACACTGTCATTGTCCATCGACTTGACTGTCCATCTGTGTCCACCGAGAGGGCTCACAAAGGCTTGGCTTGACCAGATTCGAACCGGCGCCCACGAAATCGTGGATAGGGGACTTAACCATTCGGCTATTAGTCACCCCTAAAAAATATGAAAATTTACCTTTTATTCAATGATTATACTTATGAAACTAGCAAAACAGAAATGGTTAATTACATTAATACATTTAAATTTCAGAAATCTTAACAAATTCTTTAAATAATCGTAATGAAAATATAGAATTTCTAAAAATGTTTTGTTCATTTGAATTATATGTGTTTCGTTGTTAAATTCGTTATTAATTAAAATATTATTTATTTAACATTTTTGCATTTATAAAAAAAAAACCCAAATTGGATGCACTCATAATCGTTTATTAATTGATAAAATAATGTATTAACATCGTTCAAAGTTTTCATTTCCATCCAAGAAAATCATAAATAAATTGAACAATTGTATCGACTTTAACGCCCATTCCCTTAAGAACATCCGCAACCCTTAACACTTCGTCCATGGCTGCGACCTCTTCGAACAACTTCCTCGACTCATCACTTGATATCGTCTGATAAAATCGTTGAAAATCCTTCGAAGTCTTCATCGTATCTTCAACAGTTGCCTCGAGTCTCTCGCTGGGAATAATCAAGATGATCTCATCCAGAAAACCGCGCAAACTGTAATGCAACTCGCGCAACAGATTTTCCGGTTTGGCACCCATGATGATATCGTGAATATACCGGATAACACCTTCGATGTCGATTCCGGCTTAGATCAGATACGCTTTGAACTCTTTCCACGTTGGATTTTCACGGACTTTGGTCACAAGAGAGGCCCATTCCGGTCCTTGTAGATAGCCGACGACCCTCTGGAATTCGACGTCCGAGTTCAAGTATGTCCGGGCGATGGCGCGCATCTCCTGCACCGGAAACAGCGAGAGGATATCGCTGAAATCATCTTCGAGGGTGGCCGAAGTCAACGTGCAGATCGCAATTAAAATTAGCGCGAATTTCATCTGAAAATTAAACGAATTATTTGTTTGTCGTCAATTTTTTTTAGGTGGTTTACTTACGTTGCGGCAATAAACGAGTGAATGATCGCTTTATGTTTTTTTAAATGATCATTTTTTAATATCTTATTTGATAACGTATTGATAATAATGAAAATAGGAATTTTTAATTCGTAAGTTTTATAATACAACTGGATATGTGTAATAACGTATGCGTTTCTAAATAGAATTCAGACTATGAACTGGTAAAATACATTAAAAAAAAGGAAAAAATATATTTTTTAAGTATTTATTTGAAAAGTAAAGAAATTAAACAGTTGTAAATTTAGTTCCATCCCAAGAATTTGTAGACGAAGTCGACGATCTTCTGGACATCGACACCCATGATCTTCAAGAGACCAGCGATGCGCTGAACTTCCTTCATGGCCCTAACTTCTTCGAAGAGATCCTTGGCCTTTGGGCTGGAGATCTTGGCGTAGAAAGCTTGGAAGTCGGCGGAGTTTTCCATTTTGTCGGCGACGACGGCAGGATCTCGTCCTTGGGGATGATGGCGATGATTTCGTCCAAGAATTGACGGATTCCGAAAGCGGATGGCTTGTCTGCGGCGGTATCAGGGCTGGCGTTGGCGATCAAGTCGTGGATGAAAGCGATGATGGCTTCAACATCGAGACCGGCTTCGTTCAAGTAGTCCTTGAAGCTAACCCAGCTTTTGTGCTCCCTGACGGCGGCGACGAGCTTGGCCCATTCTTTTCCTTGCAAGTAAGAGACGATCAGTTGGAATTCCTCATCGGTGGCCAAGTACTTCTTGGCGATGACGCGCATCTCGGCCAAGGGGAAGAGGTCCTTGATTTCCTTCAGATCCTCTTGGAGGGTGAAGGTGGATGGAGCGGCGAGGCTCATGCCGACGAGGGCGAAGAGAACGATGGCGATTTTCATCTGCAATTACAAAATAGAAATATTTATTAGAAAACTGCTACTTCTACTCTTGAAATTTAATGCATTACTTTGCTTGCTTTCAGAGAATTGAACTGCGAATGTCTGCCTACTAAAAATCCGGAACTTTTATATCCGATTTTTTTCCTGTTATCATTGTGCGATCATCAAAAAGATAAGTATTGCAGTTATAAATCAGTTACAAAAATATATATTAATTGAACTTTTGACACACTTTTCATACTGTAATTAATGTATTTATAGATCTCCACTTGAAGCACACGACTGATTCATTTCGCAAAAAAAAATATTCGTTCCAAAAATACAATAATTAATTACATTATTGAACTAATAGTTAATTATTGAAATAAAGTTAATAAAAAATTTAATTATAAAATGCAAAATACGTGCATTAATTTTCTATAAAAGAAATTATTTACATTTTGTCCATTTTTTTGTGTGGTGAAACTCGCTCGAATTTGTATCAACACAAAATTCATACTCTCTTCTTGAAAATCATGACGAAGACTACGAAATATCGTTACAAGAGAAATCAATTTAGTTAACATGAAATTAAAGAAATTTAAAAATTATTTTGTAGGAAAATAATTAAATAAACAATAAATAACTTAAGCATTCTTTATTTTATCTTTATTTGCATGTGATAATTTTCGCATTTATTTGATATCGCTTTTTTACAAAATAATATTCTTTAACATTTTCTATACAATCAATTTCGTTTTTCGATTAACAATTTATTCACATTAAAAAATTATAAATATACATTTTTCTTTTAGAGAGTAAAAGAATATTTGTTACGTGATCAGTTGGTTTTGCCAATTTTGAATATTACCTAAGTGAAATTGAGTAGTTTTTAAGAAAATATAACATCTAATTTGTCAATAATTTATAAAAAGAAAAAGGCGGAAAAACTTAAGTCGTTATTAGTATTATATTGTAGAAAAAATCGTGTAATGTATAAAATATTATTATCATTTCAATACTAAATATGTAATCATGCAAATGGAGTGTTTTTGAGTAATTTAAAATTAATTGTAAGGTTTGATGTAAGAATCAATTGAATGAAAATAATCTACAATTTACTTGTACTAATATAATTAATAATAATAATCAAGTTTATTGACCAAAAGAACAGATACAAAGAAAACAAAATAAAATAAATTTACAATGAGTACATTTGGCCAAAGGGAACCGAATCAGTTTTTCCAAGTAAAAAACAAAAGATCAACTGTTCTTCCTTCGGTCCCGAAAAAAATAAAATAAATATAAAGTACACAGTTCCACCGGGCATGCACAATTAGCCCATAAATAAAAAGCAGTGAAATAATAGTAAATAAACAAGGTAAAAATCTTATAAATATATAGAAAAGTACATAAAGACAAAAATATAAAAGAATAAAAATTGATGAAACTATTTTGTTATATATTTTTGAGTAAGTAAACTTTTAATGATTTATTTAAGTAATTGTGCTTTCAAATTAATACGAAATTGTGTAAGGTTTTATGTGTGTTTTATTTAAATAAAGTTGTTATAAATTTAGTTCCATCCCAAGAATTTGTAGACGAAGTCGACGATCTTTTGGACATCGACACCCATGATCTTCAAGAGACCAGCGATGCGCTGAACTTCCTTCATGGCCCTAACTTCTTCGAAGAGATCCTTGGCCTTTGGGCTGGAGATCTTGGCGTAGAAAGCTTGGAAGTCGGCGGAGTTTTCCATTTTGTCGGCGACGACGGCGAGGATCTCGTCCTTGGGGATGATGGCGATGATTTCGTCCAAGAATTGACGGATTCCGAAAGCGGATGGCTTGTCTGCAGCGGTATCAGGGCTGGCGTTGGCGATCAAGTCGTGGATGAAAGCGATGATGGCTTCAACATCGAGGCCGGCTTCGTTCAAGTAGTCCTTGAAGCTAACCCAGCTTTTGTGCTCCCTGACGGTGGCGACGAGCTTGGCCCATTCTTCTCCTTGCAAGTAAGAGACGATCAATTTGAATTCCTCATCGGTGGCCAAGTACTTCTTGGCGATGACGCGCATCTCGGCTAAGGGGAAGAGGTCCTTGATTTCCTTCAGATCCTCTTGGAGGGTGAAGGTGGATGGAGCGGCGAGGCTCATGCCGACGAGGGCGAAGAGAACGATGGCGATTTTCATCTGCAATTACAAAATAGAAATATTAATTAAAAAAACTGTTACATCAACTCTTCAAAGACAATGCATTACTTTGCTTGCTTTCGGAGAAGTGAACTGCGAATGTCTGTCTACTAAAAATCCGGAACTTTTATATGCGATTTTTACGTGTTATCGATGACCATCATCAAATTGATAAGAGAATTGCAATACAAAAATAATAATAACCATACGTAGCTAATTGAACTTTTGACACACTTTCAATCGATTTATTTTTAAATTCCAGACTTTTTACAAACACAAAATATTAATAAATTCTGTAAAAATATGTATTTATATCTTAGAAATGTTATTTTCATAAATATACAACTAACAGTAGTAATTGTTTATTTAACATAATATTATATCATTTTTATTAATTACAGATATTAATCTTCATTCCCGTGATAAATTTATAATAATTATTTGTAAATATAAAAATTAAAATATGATGCATAACAAATTAATAAGCAAGATTATCTCCTGTATCAGTTTGTATCTACGTGCATATTCATATCTTTAAAAAAATTCTTAAATTCCATCATTCTTTTTTTCTGAAAATAACATTTATTTGGCAGAATTTTCGACCCAAATTTGGATTTGGAAATTTATTTGAAAATTTTCAACGATTTTCTGCTAATATTCAATTAATAATAATAATTATTTTGAGAATAAAAATTCTTAATCAAAATTAAATCATGTTTGATCTACTATATCATGATATATGAATATACTACCTTTTTAATTGTTATTTTATTATTTGTACTCGATTTTTGCTAATTAAATTTTCATTTCAGTTAGATTTTGTAGGATATAATTATTAATGTGATTTTAGGTGGAAAATAATGAGAAATTGTGTGTGTATGTTGTTATGTTCGTTTTATTTAATGTTTCAATCAATCTGATCGGTCGAATTTAGTTCCATCCCAAGAAACCGTAGATGGCGTCGAGGGCCTTCTGGAGGTCGACACCCATCAGCTTCAAGAGTCCGGCGAGACGCTGAACTTCCTTCATGGCCCTAACTTCTTCGAAGAGAGCCTTGGCCTTTGGGCTGGAGATCTTGGCGTAGAAAGCTTGGAAGTCGGCGGAGTTTTCCATTTTGTCGGCGACGACGGCCATGATCTTGTCCTTGGGGATGATGGCTTTGATTTCGTCCAAGAATTGACGGATTCCGTAGACGGCAGGTTGGTTGGCGTCAGGGCTGGCGTTGGCGATCAGGTCGTGGATGAAAGCGATGATGGCTTCGACATCCAAACCGGCTTCGTTCAAGAAGTTTTTGAATTCGATCCAGCTTGGGTTCTCCCTGACGGCGGCGACGAGCTTGGCCCATTCTTCTCCTTGCAAGTAAGAGACGATCAGTTGGAATTCCTCATCAGTGGCCAAGTACTTCTTGGCGATGGCGCGCATCTCCGCCAAGGGGAAGAGGTCCTTGATTTCCTTCAGATCCTCTTGGAGGGAGAAGCTGGATGGAGCGGCGAGGCTCATGCCGACGAGGGCGAAGAAAACGATAGCGAATTTCATCTGCAATTGCAAAATTAAAGAATATTAATAAAAATAATTTAGATTCGTAAGACAAATTTTCAGATGACTTTACCTTGCTTGGGTGATGTTCAAACTACTGAATGATTACTGCTGATTTACGATCTGTATTTATACTAAAACTATCCTAGTTAATCTCGTAAAAAAACACGCATAGAGCAGATAGCAAGTCAATATTTGTTTATTATCGTAATGTACCAAATTAAAATCAGAATTTTTCATTTCACACGAAAAACAGCATTATCATTTTTACACCCAAAAATCGAAAAACATATTAGAACTTGACTTATAGTTCTAATATGTTTTTCTTAAAATGATTATGTAAAACCAATTATAGAACTCACACTAAAACCAAACTGATTAACTTCATTTTATACTCGCAATGAATTAATTAATCATTTTTTATTAATTACAAATTACTTTTATCATTTCTTTTATAAAACATTAGATTTATCTCATTTTTTACGTACATAGCTAATAAATAGAAGTTAAATATATAGATACAAATTACACATATAATTTTCATATAGAAATAAATAGTTGAATAATTTAATTATTATAGAAAAATTTGCTAAATTAAATGGAAAATATTAAAATTTGAAATTGTGTTCCTTCCACAAAACAAACTAAATTTTAATTAAGCATAATTGAAAATATAAGTATAGTCATGACTCTAATTGTGCGGTTTAAGTTTGAAAGAGTCCGGCATATTGTCATTAGTCAAAAACTGTATCAGAAGTTCAATTATATCTATTTTTGTAATTGATTTAACTGCATTTTTTTTTTATCTATTTGATGGTTGGACAATGATAACACGACAAAAAATCGCATATAAAAGTTCAATTTTTTGGCAGACAGACATTCGCAGTTCACTTCTCCGAAAGCAAGCAAAGTAATGCATTGTCTTTGAAGAGTAGAAGAAACAGTTTTTTTAATTAATATGTTTATTTTGTAATTGTAGATGAAAATCGCCATCGTTCTCTTTGCCCTCGTCGGCATGAGCCTCGCCGCTCCATCCACCTTCACCCTTCAAGAGGATCTTAAGGAAATCAAGGACCTCTTCCCCTTAGCCGAGATGCGCGTCATCGCCAAGAAGTACTTGGCCACCGATGAGGAATTCCAAATGATCGTCTCTTACTTGCAAGGAAAAGAATGGGCCAAGCTCGTCGCCGCCGTCAGGGAGCACAAAAGCTGGGTTAGCTTCAAGGACTACTTGAACGAAGCCGGTCTCGATGTTGAAGCCATCATCGCTTTCATCCACGACTTGATCGCCAACGCCAGCCCTGATACCGCCGCAGACAAGCCATCCGCTTTCGGAATCCGTCAATTCTTGGACGAAATCATCGCCATCATCCCCAAGGACGAGATCCTCGCCGTCGTCGCCGACAAAATGGAAAACTCCGCCGACTTCCAAGCTTTCTACGCCAAGATCTCCAGCCCAAAGGCCAAGGATCTCTTCGAAGAAGTTAGGGCCATGAAGGAAGTTCAGCGCATCGCTGGTCTCTTGAAGATCATGGGTGTCGATGTCCAAAAGATCGTCGACTTCGTCTACAAATTCTTGGGATGGAACTAAATTTATAACAACTTTATTTAAATAAAACATACATAAAAACCTTACACAACTTCTTATTAATTTAAACCCACAATTATTGAATAATATACTTTCGTGTAACATAATTGTTTATTTTTTTTTTTCCTACAAAATTGAAGCATAAAAAACAATCTATTAATAGATGAACAAAGTAACATTTCAATTGCAGATAAAAATACATTTTTGATGAAAACAAGGGAAGAACATATTAGATAAACTAGTCAAATCCAATTAACTAATCAAATAAACAAGTTTCGATTTCCTTTCGATTCGTTCTAATATTGCTGCGAAGTTATCGTTCGAAAAAAATCTGATACAAAAAAAAATAACAGAATCTATTTGTAATGTATTGTTTTAAGCTTTGGATGCGATAACAATTATGGGTCATAGAGCAAAGACCGGATCCAGGTTTTTTTAATTTGTTTTAATCTATATAGATAACGAAGCCCCGTGTCCCCAGCAGAGATCAGCTTTATCGCATACGATTTGCAATTAATTAAGTTCATTTATAGCATTTTACGTCTCAAAAATTAAAGTAATCTGTAGAGTTTTTATCTTATTAGTTCAATATCTATTGCACTTAGATGGCGTTGATTAAATCCTTATATCCTTGAGGACATCAACTTTGCACAAATCGAAGATCTTGACAAGAAAAAAAACTGAACTTTGACGACAATTATTCATATTGTTTTTTAAATTATATAATTCAAATTGTTAATAAAACGAAATAAAAATACTATGAAATTTGTTGTGAATCATGAAAATTGTAAATTGTATTCTTTTACAATTATATAACTGATTTAGATTAAAAAAATAAATTAACAAAATTAAAGTTTTTTTTACGATTAATAAAATATTAATGATTTTAACATTTTTAATTTTTCATAGGTACAAAATTTGTAAATTTTATAAATAAAAAATAGTTGATAAAAGAAGATATTTTTAAATGAAAAGTGTAAGCGAATATTTACTTTAATAATTATGTTTTAAGATAGTCAAGAAAAAGGTACGATATCTAGAGTTAAGACGACGAGTTTATTAATAAGTTGTTATCGAAACGTAATTTCAAGTATGTTTGTCTGTAAACTTTGGTGTTTCTAATTTCTAGTAATTTTCCATATTTTTCGTTTTATAAAATAAGAAATAATACTTTCGGAATCTTAACTTTAGAAAAAGATTCAATTGTTTTGATTATTTTCTTAAAGTTAAATAGAAAAATCGAGAATGTTGACTTAAGAAATTAATTAGTTTGAGAATCAATCGTTTTGTTTAAGAAAAAGTTAATAAATTTAGGTGTTAGTGTATTTATTTAGTTTGATAGTTTAATGATTTTTGTTCTTTGCTATAAAATTAATATGATTTAGTTAAAGATGAGTTCGATATTTTGATAATGTCTAGTTTCAAAGATATTTTTTTGGTTAATATTAATTTCTCAAAGTTAACTAACAAAATGAATCAAGTTGACTGTATATGTTTTGTATTTAATAAGGGTTGAGGAATAAAGGTAAAAGTGCAATAATTTAGTTTGATAGTTTAATGTTGAGTAATGTTTGCCCTTAGATATAAAATAAATACGACATGGTTAATTTAGTTCCATCCCATGAAGATGTAGACGAATTGGATGATCTCTGGTACTTTGACGCCCATGTCTTTCAAGATTCCGGCGATGCGTTTGACCTCCTCCATGGCCCTGACGTCTTCGACGAGAGCCTTAGCTTTGTCGCTGGAGACCTTGGCGTAGAAAGCCTTGAATTCGTCGTTGTTCTCCAACTTCTCGTTGAGGATGCCCATGATCTTGTCCTTGGGGATCAGAGGGATGATCTCGTCCAAGAATTGACGGATTCCTTGGGCGGACGGTTGAGCAGCGTCGGATGGCTTGGCGTCGGCGATGACGTTGTGGATCTTGGAGATGAGGCACTCAACATCCAGACCGGCTTCGGTCAAGTACTTCTTGAATCCCTGCCAGGTTGGGTTAGCCCTGACGGAGGCGACGAGCTTAGCCCATTCGGCACCTTGCAGGTAAGCGACGACCTTCTGGAATTCGGCGTCGGTTTCCAAATGGGTCTTGGCGATGGCGCGGATCTGCTCCAATGGGATCAAAGCAACGATTTCCTTAAGTCCAGCAGACATCTGCAACATTAAGAAAGAGAAATACATTAAGACATTTCATTAATAATCCTCGAAGAATGAAACTTACCTTGGTTTTTTTTTGTGTGTGTATTTACTTAAAAGCAACAAACAAGAACAATTAAACGAATGATCGTTGAAACGAGCACATCCAGTATTTATACCCAATTAACAATCGAAAAAAATCGAATCCGATAACGCACTTTTCCGTCTCCCGATTAACTGATAATGCACAATGCAACTTTGCATAGATAGTCTGTATTTTGGATCTTTGTGACATAACCCGTAATTTGGACTTGGACTTGCTCACAGACCAAGTCCGAACCATTCAATAACTCCCAACGAGATTATAGATTACACAATGAAATCCTTATCAATCGCTATAAAGTCTCAATAAAATATAGTTTTCTATGACCTAAATATGAAGTAATAATTAAGATTAAAGAAATTCTAATTGATTTTAAGTAATTTAAAATACATAATGCGTAATCATAATCATCTAGAGATAAGTACAAATTATATTACATAATCTTATTTCAAACTAATGCAATCATTATTTCAACAACATAACAAACCCACGAAATTTTAGATATTTTGAAAAAATATATATATTATGTAACATATAAATAGATTATTATCAATTGATTTCAATTAAAGATACAGAAATCATAGTCATGTTGATAAATATTATATAAACCAATTGTCTTAAGCATAATTTTGTTTTAATGACATAACAAAATCGAAAACAACAAAATTTTATAGTTTAAATATTTGACAGATGTCATATTTTTAATTTAGTTTTTAATCACGTAACAAAATGAAAATCACTATTTTTTTATCTTTTAGTAATAATGTAGTGTTAAAAAGAAAAGGCACCAAAGTTTATGTTTTAAATATTTGACAGATGTCATATTTATAATTTAGTTGTAATAAGGTAACAAAATAAAAATTAACAATTTTAGAAATTTAGAATAATTTATTATGTGAATATATTATCTACTTTACAGATAAATGATTATTAATTAATATTAATTAAAGAAACGTTTATCATTTGGAATAATAATAATCTAGTGTTAAAAAAAGTCATAAAATTATATATTTGAAATATTTGATATTTGTCATATTTATAATTAAGTTTCTAATAACGTAATAAAATAAAAATCACCATTTTCTTTTATCTTTTAGTAATAGTGTAATGTTAAAAAGAAATGTCACCAAATTTTATATTTTGAATATTTGACAGATGTCATATTTATAAATTAATTTTTAATGACCAATCACCAATTTTTGAAATTTAGAATAATTCATTATGTTAATATAAATGATTATCAATTAATATTAATTAAATATACGTTTATAATGATACAGTTATTATATTACATTAACCAATTGGCATAATAATAATCTAGTGTTAAAAATAAAAGTCATCAAATTTTATATTTTGAATATTTGACATATTAGTTTTAATAACGTAACAAAATGAAAATCGACATTTTTTTTATCTTTTAGTAATAATGTAGTGTTAAAAAGAAAAGTCACGAAATTTTATATAATTCATTTTTGAGAATCTTTAATTATATAACCTAATTTAACAACACAAAAAAAACACCAAATTTTTAATATTTTAGATTTTTTTAATCAATAATCTAAAAATAGATTGCCAAATATTACATAAACAAATTACCATAATCTAGTTTTATTGATATAACATGTCTTTTATTATTACAAATTTCTACAATAACATTTTTATGGTAGTCGGGATTTCGATATAATCGGGATTTTGATTGTCGGGATTATGGTAGTCGGGATTTCGATTTAGTCTGGATTATGATTGTCTGGATTTTGACATAGTCGAGATTTCAAGCGTCAGGATTTCAAACGTCGGGATTTCGATTGTCGGACTTGCGATATATACTCAACAAATAAAACTGATAATTTATATAAATCAAATTTCGAATAATTTACTCTTTAAATTATTACTATCATAAATTGTAAACAAAAGTACGATTTTTTTTGTGACATTGTGTATTTAATAGGATTAATTAGTTGTTTATTGGTAATGCGTGAAGTGTTTGTTGGTTTTATCTAATTTTAATAAAGAAAAAAAAATGGTGATCGTTCCATTTTGTATACGTTGTGATAGGTAATCTCCATGAAAAATTCTAATCTAGATTATAAGCGCAAATACGCTTTCAATTCAGTTCAGTTCCTCCTGAGTTCTTATCATCAAAAGTAAACTTATTACTGAGTCCTATTTAATACTTTAACAGTTGTACAGATTTTTCAATTTGCAAATTCTTCAAAACAATTATTACAACTTTATCAATAAACAAAGAAAACAGACTAAAAGTCGAGGAAATTTATTCTTTAACAGTTGTACTTTTTTAAATATTCAAGTCAGTTTTTCTTAAACGAAATTATATCTATGTTTCTCATATTAATACGTCTTTGATTTATTAAAAATATTAATAATAACACTAACTTCATGAAATTATACAAAAAAAATATCCAGATCGAAGAAACATAAATCGATTGACAAATCAAAATGTAACGAAAGGAAATAAACAAAAATCTTATTTACAAGTCAAAAGTATGCAAATGTGTGAAGTTTTCATAATTAGTTACAATTTGCAATAAGCTATTGATAATTTATGCATTTATTTGCATTTGTTATTAAGCATGAAAAAAAACATAAGTTTATTTAATATAATTTTCGAGAAATTTAAATATTATAGTTCTTCTCTATATTTAATAGATTGTAATGTCTTATCGTAACTAGACCATCCCCACGCCTCATACAGATAAACTTATATAATCGTTGCAATTTGTGTTCCGTTGCAATCGTTCTATTATCGCGCAAAGGTAATATTAATTGAATTCACTTTTATCGTTTCATAATTGATTGATTATTCGTAATTTAGATGAAAGCTACCGTAATCCTTGTGTTCCTCGTCGGAATCGCGTGCGGATCCGCATCCCTCGTCCACGATTTCCAAGACATCGTCGACGTTATCCCGTTGAAGGAGATCATAGCAATCGCTCGCAAATACTTGAACAACGATGCGGAATTCCAGAAGGTCGTCGTTTACCTGCAAGGACCGGAATGGGCTGGACTGGTTAAGCAGATCGCTGCGCATCCGGCGTATCAATACCTGAAGAATCACATGATCCAAGCGGGCGTCGACGTGGACGCTGTGATCAAGTTGATCCACGATCTCATCGCCGGAGCGCATCCGGAAGGCCGATCCGCGTTCAGCTTGCGCGGTTTTCTGGATGAAGTCGAAGCGATCGTTCCGAAAGGGAAGTTGCTCGAAGTAATCGAGGATAAGCGTGAGAATAGCTCCGATTTCCGTGCGTTCTTCTCCGTCTTCTCCAGCCAAACTGGAAACAGATTTGTGAATGATGTCAGGAATTTCGATGAGATGAAACGCTTAGTCGCATCGCTGAAAGAGATCGACGTTGATTTGGATAAAGCTTTCGATGCTGTCTACAAATATCTCAATTGGACACATTAAAATTAATAATTTCTTAGAAATAAATCTATAATGCATAAGATACACCTATTCATTTATCTTATCCTATAATCATAACAAAATCAACTTAAATAAGATTTAACAATAATAAACTACATCTATTTATATCTAAGTTAGTTGATTAAGTTAAATCAATACTTAGTAGATGAAATCGACAAAACATTATTATACATATTATTTATACATATTTCAAAAGAATTGCATTATTATTATTAAATATGCATAAATTTAAATAATTGCCAAAAAAAAACTATTGTGAAAACAATAATTCATTTGCATCATGTGTTTGTACATAATTTCATTAAAAATTCATGATTTCAGACTATAAATACAGTTCTTTCGTCGACTGTTTTCAGTGAATCAAGCCACCAACAACTCTCCAAGTTTCAGTGTTACAACAGTTGCATTTCTTTGGCAAAATCATGAAATTTTCAATCATAATGTTTGCCCTCGTCGGAATTGGATGCGCATCTGCAGGCATCCTCGACGGCTTAATCCCTGTCCTACCGATTGACGTCGTCCCAGCTATTAACAACTTTGCGGATATCATCCAAAATCTTCCAACTGAACTGAAAGATTTGTTTACTCCGTTAATACCCATCTTGGAAATCGTTAAAGAAATCATTAATTATGTAATAACAACATTTTTTTAAGCAATTAAAAGTACATTTAGTTGTATCCAATGTATTTTATTATAATCAATTTTATTAATTGTTAATTTGTAGAATTAAGTAGATTATTTTGATAAATTGATAAATTATATAAAATATAATTATAAAATTTTTGTTGTTGAAATATTATAATATGGTTTATCTCTAAAATTTTATTTATTTTTATCTAGTGTTTATAATTTAGAAACAAATAAGTATATTTTACCTTTTGTCTATTTTGCTGTCGAAGATCAAATGATAACAGTAAGATTTATTGATGAGGAAGTTGGGGAAATTGGTGTTTTATATCAAGTTTGTTGGTATTACTAACAATGTGACAATGTAACAAGTTCTTATCATCGAAAGTAAACTTATTACTTAGTCCTATTTAATACTTTAACAGTTGTACAGATTTTTCAATTCGCAAATTCTTCAAAACAATTATTACAACTTTATCAATAAACAAAGAAAACAGACTAAAAGTCGAGGAAATATATTCTTTAACAGTTGTACTTTTTTAAACATTCAAGTCAATTTTTCTTAAACGAAATTATATCTATGTTTCTTTGATTTATCAAAAATATTAATAATAACACTGACTTCAAGAAATTAATTTTTTTAAGCAATTAAAAGTACATTTAGTTGAATCCAATATATTTTTAAATGTATTTTTATTAATTGTTAATTTGTAGAATTAAGTAGATTATTTTGATAAATTGATAAATTATAAAAAATATAATTATAAAATTTTTGTTGTTGAAATATTATAATATGGTTTATCTCTAAAATTTTATTTATTTTTATCGAGTGTTTCTAATTTAGAAACAAATAAGTATATTTTACCTTTTTCTGTTGAAGATCAAATGATAACAGTAAGTTTATTGATAGGAAGTTGGGGAAATTGGTGTTTTATATCAAGTTTGTTGGTATTACTAACAATGTTAACAACCTTTAAGATTGATGATGAGAAATAAGACTACTGAGTATGCTTGATCTATGTTGAATTTATTAGTTAAATAAATCATTTCCATCCAAAGAGCATGTAGATGATGTCGACGACCTTTTGCATGTCGATGCCCATCAGTTTCAAGACTCCGGCGAGACGTTGGACTTCTTTCATGGCCCTGACTTCTTCGAAGAGTGAGTGCGCCTTTTCGTCAGAGACCTCGGCCCAGAATGCCTTGAACTCTTCGCTGGTCTCCAGTTTGTGTTGCAAAAGGGCCAACAGTTCATCGACTGGAATGACGGCGATGATCTCGTCGACGTATTGCCTCATTCCGCGGGTGGATGTAGCCTTGCCCTCTGGCTGGGCTCCCTGGAGAAGGTCGTGGATGAGCTGGATGATATCGTCGATGGGGAAGCCGGCTTCCTTCATGTATTCCTCGAATTCCTTCCACACGGGTTTCTCTCCAACAGCTTCAACGAGCTTGGCCCATTCCTCGCTCTGCAAGTAGGCAACAACCTGCTGCACTTCGGCATCGTTGTTCAAATACTTCTGGGAGATTTCCTTCATCTCGCCGATGGGGAGGAGAGCGACGAATTCCAGTAAATCTGTCTCCAAGCTGAGGGTTGCAGGAGCAGCGGCGGCGAAGCCGACGACGGCGAGGATTGCGAACAAGAATTTCATCTGCAAAACAATATTAATAGTAAAATAAAAACTAGTAAATTGTTGGGTGATCTTACCTTTGCAAACGATAATTTCACTTTGATGATTTTTGCTTTGCGCTTCCCCCTTTTTTATACTCATCCTTAATCTTTCGATAATAAATCATTTACATGCACACAAATACAAAAAAAAAATATAATAATAACGTTAAGTAGGTCCTTGTCACGCTCAAGTCATCAAAATAATCATGACAAAATATCGGAAATCAGATTTCTACCTGATCAACGTTACGATTATCGAGGGGAAGCACTACGCTTGGCCCAACATGAACTCCTACGTGCACATCAAAGTCGGCAAACAAATGCAGAAGACAAAAATCAGGCACAACACGGGATCTCCATACTACAACGAAGTACCCAAAAACCAAATCATCCAACAAAAATACTAATAAAAACTTTCCAGTACTTCGTGTTCGAGTTTAAAACGAACCTGCAAGTTCTCAACGATAAAACGATAACGTTAACAGTAAGTTTCATTATCATAACAATTAGATAATTTGTGATTAGTTGAAGAGAATTTCAGGTGTTTCGTCCGAAGCATATTTTCAGAAGGAAGAAAATCCTCGGCTACATCACCATGGACATAGCAACTGTTTGGAATCAACCAGGTCATTATTAATGTAATTCCACTATATTTTAAATCCTCAAATAGATCACCAATTCTATAGAAAGTGGGCGATTCTGAGCACTCCGAAATCGAATTTCGCCGGGCCGCGCGGTTACCTAAAAGTCACCATAACGATCTTAACCAAAGGACAGATTCCCAAAATTCCAATCATCAATCCTTTGGAAGAGGACGATATTGAAACCAATCTTTTGTTACCTGAAGGAGTTACGATGGAGAGACGCAGAGCTTTATTCGTGTTTAAAGTGTACAAAGCCATCGATGTTACCAGGAAGACGAGTCAAATGCCCGTTGTTAATGAGGACGATCAAGATCGCGATAGAAGGAATAGAAGAGATTATCCTAACGTGTATTTTAAGGTGACGTTCGCCGGGCTCACGGCTAAAACCAGCGTCAAACGAAGAACATCGCATCCCAAGTGGAACGAGAGTTTAACAATAGCCGAGATGTATCCAGCTTTGTGCCAGAAGATTAAACTGGAACTTTGTTATAAACTGCATATGAGGAAACGCGTCAAATGCGTTAAATATCTTCAACTCACGTCGATATCCAGCGATAAAGATGACGGTTTCCTTCCCACTTTCGGTCCTGCCTACATTTACTTTTACAGGAAAACGGTGGCGGGAGAAGAGTTCGCTGGGAAAGTTCTTCTCTCGCTGGAAACTAAGATATTCACCGATATACAAAGCAAAACGAGATGCGTCTTCAAGGAATCAATTCCTCCAATCTTAGAAGTAGTATTAAGTTATTCTACATGCACGGGTAATTGATGATGATGAAATTGCAGACAAGCCTTTGGAATTTTGAAGATATTTTGGTTTTCATAGCCATCATCAACGTGTCCGCAATACACGTACATTATCTTCCGAAACCCATCTCCTTCGAACTGGGCTTCGGTCGCACGAAGGCAATAGAATTGGCGAACGGAAACCTTCTCTTACCTAAATATTACACGAGGCGCTACAATCCGAAGACTTTGGACTCGAATTTCTGGCATATAGATTTCGACAATTCGTTTCCTTGCCTCCACAAAGTAGCGTACTATCCAAACTTGCGGAGGCGGCTGTACATAGCAAACATCATCGGAACCATCGCCTACAATTTGGTTTTTAAACATTTTTTTTTTAATTTAATTAATTAATCTTCTAATTAATTCCGTTCAGAAGCAGAGGATCTCCGAGCTCGATTACCTCTTCAGGCACAATCAAGGCAAGAGCGAAATGATTGGAGATAAATTGCTAGAGTTTTGCGCGTACACCTCGGAATCTTGTAAAAAGTGCATGGATTTAGTGCAAAACGCCATTTCGATTTGCGTCACAAATTTGGATACGGAAAAGGGGAAATATTGCGTACGAGAACTCGCGGATATAGAGGAGATGTGTCAGAAGATTTACAATCCGAGAAGCAAGAAGAATTCTTTCGCTAGAGCGCAAAGAATTTACGAAAGAATACGATTACTCGTGGATCACGTATATTATCATATTGTGTGTGAAGATTGAGCATGATTTTTTAAATTTTCAGCCACAAGAAACGTTGCCAGATGTTCTGCTGTGGATGAGGTTTGAGAACGAGAAAGTTTCTTGCTTGAAATTTGCGGCTAAAGATTTGATTTACTCTTCTACGCCGGATGAGGCCGGGAGGTATTGCGGAAAGATCAGCACTTTATATTTTAAAGTATTTATTTAAATTCACCTTTAATTATTTTTGTTGAATTTTGTTGCTTTTTAGAGAAAGAAATTCAACAAGTCCAAATCGCCTGTAGTCTGCAAAAGCGATTTGTATCTTTGGTTAGGATTGAAGAAGGATTCTCAAGAGTGTTTGAAGCTTCTACCGCCCGGTTTCGAGTACAACAACGTCGACGAAATACCCGATTTCCTTTCCTTGAAAGAATCAATTGTAAATTCACTAACTTTACAAACTTGTTTTAATGAAAATTGCTTTAGATTTTCCAATGCAGAGTGCACATTTATCAAGGGAGATTTGGATTGGCTTATGATTACACTGGTTTATCGGATTTCTTCGTAACTGTTATCGTTGGAGAAAGGTGCAAAAGGACTAAAGTTCGTCACGCAACTTTGAATCCCATTTGGAATGAGACTTTGATCTTTAGACACGTGGTGGCTTACGGAAAGAGGGAGCAAATCGCGCAGAAACCTCCACCCATCATCGTTGAAATCACCGACCAAGATAAATGTGTATTTATTAATAGAAATCTGCGTGTTTTCAATTGATTTTCAACGGTTAGTTTTCAGTGCCAAACTGAACACGTCGGAAGATGCGAGCTGATTCCTGTCATCAAATTCAAGAACACGGTTTATGGTCCACCGGATTTTCCTCCCAGATTAGCTTGGCGCGACATCCACAACGAGAACATCATTGTCGGAGATATGTTGGCTTCTGCAGAACTGTTGGAGGTAAATCTTCAATTTTAAATTGTGCATAAATATTCGATGGATTTATCGAAGGTGACAGAAGGAGTTAAAGAGGAGGACGATCTGAACGACGATAACATCCCCGTCGCCGACGATATTAGACCGAAACTCGAGAATTATCGCCTGGAGGTGCACTTCTGGGGATTGAGAGATCTCCATAAGGTACAGCACTTATCAGTGATGAAACCCAAAGTGCTGATTGAATGCGGAGAAGAGAAGCTGTGGTCCGATAATGTATCGCACAATCTCAACTTTGTAAATCCCATCAAGTGCATAGATATTGTGAGTGGTTTTTTCTACAGATAAACCGTTTATTTTATTATTATTTTTTTGGCAATTTTATAAAAATAAATGCACTTGACCTTGATTGCGTTTCAGAAATTGCCCAATTACGAAGAATTCCTTCCGCCGTTGAGCATCAAGCTCTTGGATATGCGGGCTTTCGGTAATCTGAAGTACATTGGAAATCATTCTACGCACATACAAGAATTTGTCTTTCATCCGATCATCAGGAACGATTGGGAGAAGCAGCTGGCTGGTTTCGGTCTAAAATCTTACGAGAGTCTAAGAAGTCACAAAGGTTTGTAAACATTTAGTTGTGTATTATCACTGCAACATTTGATTTAGACTCTTTCTACGTGGATATGAATATGGATGAGAAGAAGGAGCATAAACTGACGTTGAATGTCTTTGATGAGCAGAAGAAAGAGCATCCGAAATGTTGTTGCCTCGGTCGGTGCGTGATTAGATGCATGCATTTGCTGGGTAAACGAAATAAGATTGTTAAGGAAGTTGTAGAAGATGATGATGAATCTGAAGAAGATAACGTGGATTGGTGGACAAAATATTATGCTTCTCTCGATGTAATTATTCATTGTTAATCTTTTTTATTGCGCTAAATTAATATTTATTTCAGGGAACTGCCGAGGAAAGTACGGTACATCATGTGAAGAATCCCAATTTCAAATTAAAGGTCAGTGTCTTAAGATATTTTAATTTAAATGTCTGTAAATTATGTCTTCATATTTTCATAAATTTCTCGATTACTAGAATAACTAGAATCAATATTGAACGTGGATGTTAAAACTGAATATTTGACATTGTTACTGTTAACATTATTTTCTTGAAGATCTATAATGATGAATTGGAAAACCAAGCAGATTTCCGTGGATTCACGGACATTGTGGGCAAATTCAAGTTGTACAGAGGTAAAACCACTGGCGATGATGTTGAAGATGAGTCGTTCGTGATTGGGACGTTGAAGTGCAAGATCAGCGTCTACGCCTGGCCACCAGTCGACGAGCTGCACTACGTGACCCCATCAGGATTCTCCCTGGAGGATGGTTTCTTCCAAGGTTATCCGAACAACGGATCTCTGGATTTCGTCGTCAGAGTTTACTGCGTTCGAGGCATCAAACTCACCCCCAAAGATTTAGCAGGAAAGTGCGATGCGTACGTCGTGATTCGGATGGACCAGTCCGTCATAAACGACTCGAAGAATTACGTGCCGAAGAACGTGAACCCCACGTTCGGCAGGTGAGCAGTTATCAATCATCTACGAATCATAATAGATGCGGTTGCGTAATCACTTCCTCCGAATGCATCCGAGATGATGAGTGGAAAATATTATTCTCGAAGTACTCGACGCCCACGATAAGATTAGATACAAGTGGGGGGTCGATAGGGACCTAAAATAGACCTCAAAAATCGGTGTGAAAAGAATAACAGGTTTCACTTGATTAGCGATTAGCATTTATTAATATGCCAAAGTGTGTAGAGGATTAACTTTGGCTTAAAATTGAATCGTTTTGCTTTGCTTATCTAAGAGATATCTAAATTTAGTCAAAAATAACTAATTATATATGCATACTCATTCTATTCATAAATCCACACTTGACAAAACTATAATATAGTTAATATAACCAAAATCTGCTGAGTTGTGGAACTAAAAATATTATTTTTTTGTGCTATCTGCTTTGATAAAGTTCGTTACAAATTAATTAACTCTAAGATATTGCAGCTTAATAATGCTAAACAATTGTTAATTGTCTAATGTAAAATATGATAGTTTATCTGCAAAAATTTAATAATCTAATTACTAAAACTAGTAATAAAACGCTCGATGAAGCTTGATATAAATATAGAGAGAAACGCAACGTTTTGTAAACTGCAGCTGTGACGGTGGTTCTCATCCAATATTTTATTAAAATTGCAGAAGTTCAATTTAATTGGATTGATTGGAAATATCCACTCGAATCATGCGAAAGCTGCGTGAAAATTGTGTAAACTGGTTTACTAGGATGCAGTCTTAATAGCCAACATCATCCATAACTTTCAATTATGATCGTGCCCCGTAAATACGTTTACACTTTATGCAGAAACCGTGAAAGATTCTTTTTGTTCCTTTCGAACGCTGTTCTTCATTTATATATAGTTAAATTACTCGTCGGTCAATTTGTGCGTTTTCTTTATGTATGCAATTCTGCTTGAATGATTTCAACGCTGCTGCGAGTAATATTATCGAGTTATTAAGATACATTAGCTTCCGTTTTACAGTTTTAAACAAACTTTGGGCGTGGATTTCATAATTGGTTTGAATTGATGCTGGATCCGAGCTCGGTTCTGCCATCTGATGGCTAACAGCTGGACTGTAGTTGATTCGAGCAAATGAAGTTGCCTATATAATATTTTTCAAATTAAAATTATAATTTAACAAATATATTTTAAAAAAATTCTTATTGTTTCAGCTTTTTAAAAAAGCATATTTTGTTTTATGTGATTATCAAGAAATTAAAAACTTTTTTTTCTGTTTGTCAGATGTTTCGAGTTTTCTGGAAGTTTTCCCAAGGATCATTCTTTGACTTTATCCGTTTGGGATTGGGATAGATCGAGTAGAAGGGATTTGATAGGAGAGACGAGGATTGATTTGGAGAATCGAGTGTACACGGCGCACAGGGCTAATTGCGGTTTACAATTTGAATACAAAGAGTTCGCGCGTTCAGTTTTTTTTTATATAGATTTCAAATTGTAATCTATAAATGTAATATTTCAGGGATGGTCCATGCCCTTGGAGGGATCAGCAGAGACCAACGGAAATTTTGGAAAAGCTCTGCTTGACTCACAGTCTACCTCCACCTGAATACTCGCCCGAATCTGTTCGAATTGGGAGCGTGGAGTTTACTGCACCAATTGCAGGTAGTTGGTGCTAGTATATAAATTACTATTTATTAAAATGATTGATTGATTAATTGAAGTTGGTGATGATAAGAGATCGAGTTTGAAGGAGAATGTGGCTTTAAATGCTTTGCACAATTGGAACCGTATTCCTGTTGCCGGTTGCCACCTGGTGCCTGAGCACGTGGAGACGAGGTCCCTCTACAATCCGTCGAAGCCTGGTCTCGAGCAGGTAATTAATAGGGAGCTTCAAACGTTTTTGAATTTTTAGTCCTAAAGAACTGGTGAAAAGGGCAAAATCCAATTATGGATCGATGTGTTTCCTCTGACCGAAGATCGACCCGTACCAGACATGGTGAACATCAAGCCGAGGAAGCCGGTATCGTACGAGCTGCGCGTGACCATCTGGAATACCGAAGAGGTGGTTCTCAATGAAGACGACTTCTTCGGCGACAAGAAGAGCGATATTTATGTGAAGGGGTAAGCAAACGATTGTTGTTTGCGCAGTGGATTAACTGATTTGCAGATGGTTGGGTAGGCCGGATAAGCCGCAGCAGACTGATACGCATTATCGATCATTGAACGGCGAAGGCAACTTCAATTGGCGATTCGTTTTCCCCTTCGATTATCTTTCCACCGAGAACAAGGCGATTCAGATGAAGAAGGAGAACGCGTTCGATATCGACTTGACGGAGCTGAAGATTCCCTGCAGATTGGTGCTGCAGGTTTGGGACAACGACATCTTCTCCAAGGACGATTTCCTAGGTGGATTCAATTCCATTAGAATTGCATCTATTTGATCATTGAACATTGCAGGAACGTTGACTTTGGAGTTGAACAGATTTCCGCGCGGAGCGAAATTGGTCAAAGATTGCACGTTGAAAATGCTGGGTACGAATGCTCCTAAAATCAATTTATTCAAGACGCGAAGAACTAGGGGCTGGTGGCCCTTCATTGGTCCTTCGTTGGATAGTAAACAGATTTTGACTGTGAGAACTTTGATCCGTAAAAACAAAATTGAAAACTTATTGTTTTTCAAGGGAAAGTTGGATGTCGAATTGGAATTGGTGACTGCGGAGGAAGCAGCAGCAAATCCTGTAGGTTTGGGCAGATCTAAACCTTCACCACTTGCTCCACCTAAGTAAGTTTCTCTTTACGAAGTAGACACACTTCTTTCTGTGTGTGTTGGCATGCGCTTGCTGCGGCACATAATAGTTTTCGGATCGATGCAAAGTGTATGGAAAAAAACATGCAATTACAAAAAATTGCCCTTCCCATGGGGGATTTTCGAAAATAATTTTGCGTTCGATTAATTGGACGACGACGTCGACCACTGAAAGGTCAAACCAACGACATAATAATAATAATAAATAAATATCCAGGAAGCCGATCTCCCCAAAGTCCTCTTTAATATAAATACATTTTTCTTATTTGCATAGTAAAACTATATGCATTAGATTATATCAACTAATGCAGTTATTATTTCGACTCGAATTTTTTTTCTTTGAAACGATATCCTTAAACTGTTGTTTATACGGCTCATTTCTGTACCTGGCGAGTTTTGTTCATAAGGATTTTTACGTGCAGCTTTCTTTCGCTTTACGATCTTGCCACCTTTTACGGCCCATTTTGTAAGCGCTCGCGCGATTCTTAAACCAAGGTCATAAATCTTTTCTTTTTCAGAGGAGACTGTGAAAATTGTCAATCTGGTTTGTCCAGAGTTGTACAGAACAATATTGCAGATGTACCAAATTTAGGGAAGTTTTTTTAGGTACTTTTTATGGTAAAATCTATATAAAAAATTGAATTGAATTAAGTTTAGTAAAACAGTTTCAGAAGTTACATAACAATTTGATGATGTAATGATGCATATTTTAATTAATAGAGAAATATTACAGACTATTTTTTTTGCTAAAATATTAATTTGTAACAATTCTCCAATTACATGGTTTGTAATGAATACGAGGCGGCATCATTAGAAGGTATCGTTTAGTTTTTTTGTGCGTCTGAACTATTATATTCTGTGCAAATTGCTTCAATTTGAACGATCGCAAGATAATTTAATTTTGTGAAGCACCGCATGTTTCGTCCAGTTTCATCCGTGATGAAAAAAAAAAGGATGAAACTTGGCCGAAGCATCGGAGAGAAGACCCACAAGGTGGTGATTTCTATATTACTGTTTTGCCTTATTGTTTCGTTCGTGTATTTCCAGGCGACCTGAGACTTCGTTCGCTTGGTTCTCCAATCCACTGAAGACTTGCCGCTTCATCGTGTGGAAGAATCTGAAGTACAAGATCCTGAAAGTCTTTCTAATCCTCGTGCTGCTCGTCTTCATTGGAGTTGCGATCTACTCCTTTCCCGGATATTCGGTGAAGAAGTTGCTGCACGCGTGACCTCTATCTCGATTTATATTAAGACTCGTTTTACATCTAACTATAAATGTTATATGAATAAATACCGTTTCAAGTAAATCTATCGGTGTGTGCTGAAAGGATGATGGATGCGTGAATGGGACGACAACATAATCACTCGATTGCAGTGCGTTTTTTTTTATCTACACGTCCAAGTATGATTTGGGCGTCGATTTTTTGAAGGATGGACAGTATCGAGGACGCGTTTGCATCGCGTACATCTCGGGGCGTCGCGACGCCGCTTAATTAACACGATCGCACCCCTCGCTGCAAAACACACACTTAAACACAACACAGAGAGAGAGAGAGGAGAGATATCGTCCGGACGAGAGAACGGATTTTTATTACGACGAACGTGCTCCGTCTCGCAAGTAACATTATTTCTTTAATTTGGGTGAGTTTGGTTTTTTCTTCATTTTCACCTCAACAATTTACAATCACAACTTCGACCACAATCAATGCCATTAACTTACATATAAAGCTTTCACTTTACCCAACGCAAAACAACGATAACTTTCGCTTCGTGCACATTTCGCACCATTAATTAGACAAAAAGTAAATCGATTTTAACTTCAGAAGAAATCCAATTTAAAAGCATCAACAAAAGTTTCATAATCCTTAGAAACGAAAATCTAACGCTAAAGAACTTAATTGTTTATATTTTCAACAATTAAGAAAAAAAAATTAACGCACTTAATTTCAATTTTTAATTCATAATTACGAGTGCAAACGAATATAAAAAAATAAATATATAATGAAACGTCAAAGAGGGATGAAGAGGAAGGGAATGGTGTAATTAAAACGTAATTACTCTTTCGCGAGACGACGCGAAATTACAATTACACAGTTCGCTTTTTTTTCAGCTGCTTCTGATCTTCGCACTCAAAGAATTCGTAATGCGATGTCTACAAAGTCTTTATTATCTTTAAGCATTGGACACTTTTTTTTGTTGTTGCAATTACAAATTGGGTAGCAGCATTGAAAGTTTCTATTTATTCCTGATCAACAAAAAAACAACTCATTACACTTTTCATATTTTTAATTTAAACTGAAAATGCATTGAAATTCAAATGAAATTGCTTTGCTTTCTGAATGCTGCAACTG